ACTGGGTTCTATAGCCTTGGATGGCAACTGGTCTATGATATATATATATAATATATATATATATATATATATATATAATTACACACAAGTATAGGATTGGTGTATATGGAATAAATTCCGATAACCAAAAAATACAATTCTTAAAAAAGTGCTCAATACAGAGTAGAGCATATATAATTTATTCCAAAATTATAACATATATATATATATATATATATTAAGCACCTTATATATATACTAAAATAAGCATTGAAAAAAAGGCATCTAATATTTACTATAGTGATAATTATATATATTAATTTTTACAGAGAAGAATTAAAACTTTGTTACTTATATGTAAGTTTTTGTACAAAATCTTTCTAACAAATATTTTGCGTATATACATATATTTAAGCACACACACGCATATATATATATATATATATATATATATATATATATATCCAGAGATATGACGGATTCATCTTCATCCCCAATAGTAATGATCCGCTAACGGCGAAGATACAAAAGGAAATCATTAGGGCCTTTGAATTACTAAGGTTTAAGATTACGATTTCTTCTAACTTAAAAATAGTTAATTAGCAAGGCATCAACCTTAACGTCAATGATATAAAACTTTAAATATTACCATAAAGAGAATGAAACTCTTAATTATATTAATGTTAGTTCTAACCACCTCAATGCCATTCTGAGACAAATACACACTACCGTTTGAAACAGAATTAGTAAATTATCGGCCAATACAAAAACTATTTAATAAACATAAACAATTGTATGAAAATGCTCTCCACATAAGTTATCTTACTTAACCCCTATAAGTAATACTGAAGTGTCTAAAGTGGGATGTAGGCATAGAAATAAAAAAGAAAAGTCATTTGGTCAACCTCCTCTCTTCTGTAAACGGTCAAATATTAATATCGGACAGAATTTCTGAAAATTAATTGTTATGATGTTGATTTGGGGTTAATAAAGACAAACGCCAAATAACACGTAACAATAAAAAGGGGTTTATTCGGTTGGTAAGTAGGTACAGAAATCGCCTGAGTAGTCTATAACTAGCGCAGCCAAGAACTTCTCGGTATTTATCATTTCACCCACGGGAAACGAATATGGCACAAGGCCGGTTTTTATTAGGGTTTCTCCGAGCCCGTAGGCTCGGCCAAAAAAAAAATAGCCTTTTGAAGCCGATTAGACGGGTTCAGGCCCTTGTCTACCTCCCCGGACGAAACCTTGCCATTCGGCAAAGCCTCGTCCGGTTCCTCTCTGCTTACGCAGAGAGTTCGACAGACGTCGGAAGTCAGCTCAAGAACTTCTCGGTATTTATCATTTCACCCACGGAAACGAATATGGCACAAGGCCGGTTTTATTGTGGGTTTCTCCGAGCCCGTAGGCTCGGCCAAAAAAATAGCCTTTTGAAGCCGATTAGACGGGTTCAGGCCCAGTCTACCTCCCCGGACGAAACCTTGCCATTCGGCAAAGCCTCGTCCGGGTTCCTCTCTGCTTACGCAGAGAGTTCGACAGACGTCGGAAGTCAGCTCAACAACTTCTCCGTACCTGTCTTTTGAGATGCCACTATTTAAAGTCTTTGTTTGTAGACAAGTTCATCTTCAAGAGGGGTGGTAGGTTTCCTACACAACATTAATAAATAAACATTTCCACAAAAACAACATTCTATGTAAGATCTTCAACAGGAAATCGATCAAAATCAGCTACTCCTGAACTAATAACATGTACCAAATTATCAACTCCCATAATAACTATATCCTAAGTAAATTCTATGAGATAAACACTAAACTTAACATGGAACACCCTTGTAATTGTAGAAATAGAGAAAACTGCCCAGTTAAGTGCAAATGCAGATCTACTACGGTAATGTACCAGGCAACCATTGCCACTAACGAAAATACGAGAAATTATAATATTTACATTGAAATTTTCGAATGAAGAATTTAAGCAGAGATTTTGTACCGATAGGCACTCATTTTTCAATCCTAAAAATTAAAATACAGAACAGCCCTTTCAAAGAAATTTTGGGAATTGAAGTAAAAAGAATATATATATTCTTGTATAAATTACCTACGAGATACAACCTACCCTGAACCAACGACCATATCCAGTACATTTCACAGAGGGGTGAAAGTGCGGTATCTAGGAAAAGTTGTTATACTTGTTAATATATATATATATATATATATATATATATATATATATAAATATATATATATATTAGGGACAAAGTCCGACAATTATTTTAAGACATTTTATGTTTATACATTCTTTTTATAAATACAAATATTTAAGTAAATGCTATGTTTTATAATACATTTACATTTTTTACACTTGGATAAATGTTGAACAGATATGAATGTACATAAGAAATTCATAAAAGATTGAAGTATAAAAGCAGTAAAATCGACCTGGCAATCGAACGATTCTCCAGGTGGCTCGATTAGTTAAAAATTCTTTGGACATTCAGGCAGGTAACTGTTATTAATCTGTTTATTATAAAACTAAATGAATATTTTTTCCAATATATGTAAACAATACCAAGATACTGATAGAGATGGATATTCGATCTGTTCGATTCCTGTCTGATATACGAATATATATATATAGAAGAGAGAGAGAGAGAGAGAGAGATTTTATTTTTCTTTCTTTCCCCTTTGTACACACGCATTTATATAAAAATTTTCCAAGATACTGATATTCAGGCCGGTAAAATTGATCTGTTATTAATATATATTTATATATAAAACAGAGAGATTTAGATTAAATATTTTCTATCTATAAAACAATATATATGTATAACAACTTTTCCAAGATACCGATAGAGATGGATATTCGATCTGTGAAAAGGGGAAAAAGAAATCGAATATCCATCTCTCTCTCTCTCTATATATATATATATATATATATATAGAGAGAGAGAGATTTTCTTTTTCTTTTCTTCCCCTTTCATACACACGCATATATATATATATATGTATAACCCTTTATTCATACATATATATATATATATATATATAGAGAGAGAGAGAGAGAGATTTTCGATTTTTCTTTTTTTTTCCCTTTTCATATATATATATATATATATATATATATATATATATATATATATATATATATATATATATATATATATATATATATATAAAGTGTGGGTATATATATATATATATATATATATATAAATATATATATATATATATATATATATATATATATATATATATATATATATATATATATATATATATATATATATATATATGTATATATATATATATATATATATATATATAAAAGTGTGGCTGGTCCTGCACAAGGCCTTCACCACTATAAACAAATCTCATGTGCCGGTGTCGGGATGTCGGTTTCCTGGGGACTTATCGGCGTGACCTCATACGTCGAACGCGACGGGAGAGTCGATTATTTTATATATATATATATATATATATATATATATATATATATATATATATATATATATATAGTAAGTAAACCCTAAGATAATATTTTAAAATTGTCTTTTTTTTCCTAAGGTTCAACAAATCATATATATATATATATATATATATATATATATATATATATATATATATATATATATATATATATATAAATTTTTCTTTAGCTCACTTTCTCTCATTCATATTTTTCTATTTTCTTTCGGGCTATAATTTGCTATTTTATCTCGCTAACTAGCTCGCTCGCTATGTCAATTGATTGTTTCTATCAGATTATCTGTCTCGACTGGTACAATGCACAAATGACCTGAGTCAATCACTGTTGCCGAGTTGAAAACACAAAAATGTCTGTCATCAAAGGGATTCATCGATTTTTATCTCCCGCTCATTCTTTCTTTCATTCTTTATTTCTCTCCACTATTTCTTTTTCTCTACTCCATTCTTTTCATTTATTCTCTCTTCCTTTCTTTCACACACTTTTTCATTCTTTCTCCCAACTCTTTCTTTCTCACCATTCCTTCTTTCTTTCTTTCTTTCTTTCTTTCTCACCTTTCCTTCTTTTTTTTTTCACCCACTTTCTTTGTTTCTACTCATTCTTTGTTATTCTCCACTCTTTCTTTCACTCCACCCTTTTCATTCATTTATTCTTTCTTTCTTTCTTTCTTTCTTTCTTTCTTTCACACACCCTTTCTTTCTCTCAACTCTTACTTTCTCCACACCCCTTCTTTCTTTTACACAATCTTTCTATATTTCTCCCCACTCCTTATCTCTTTCTTTCACATTCTCTTTCATTCACTCTTGCTTTCTTCAACTCCACACTTTTCATTATTTCTTTCTTTCTTTCTTTCTTTCTTTCTTTCTTTCTTTTACACACCCTTTCTTTCTCTCAACTCTTTCTTTCTCTCAACTCCTTTGTTTCTTTGACACGCGCTTTCTTTCTCCCAACTTTTTTCTTTTGTTTTCTTTCACACATTTCTTTCTTTCACTCGACACTTTTCATTCTGTCTTTCTTTCTTTCTTTCTTTCTTTTTTTCTTTCTTTCTTTCTTTCTTTCTTACTTTTTCTTTTCACTCTCTCTTTCACACGTTAATTCTTTCTTTCTCTCCACTCCTTCTTTCTTTCACGCAATCTCTTTTTCTCACCACTCTTTTCTTTCCTTCTTTCTTTCACCCACTCATTCCTTCTTTCACTGCACATTTTTCATTCTTTCTTTCTTTCACACACCCTGTCTTTTTTCCACTCAACACTTTTCATTCTTTATTGCTTTAACGTACATTTTATTCCTTTCTCTATAATTATTCTTTCTCTCCTTTCTTTCACCCACTATTTCTTTCCTCCTTCCTTTCACTTCACACTTTTCATGATTTCTTTCTTGCTTTTACATTCTTTCTTTCTTTCTCTCACTCTTTCTATCTTTCTATCTTTCTTTTTTTTTTCTTGTCTACCGTATTTCTTTTTACTCATTTTGTTTATTTCGTAAATGTAAAGTTATATTTAATAAGCATATAAATTTATTGTTTCATTCATTAAAAATTAATTCATGCACATATAGCAAGTAAATTACATAATTAACGTTGCAAAAATGATCTCCTCTTCGGACAATCGTTTCATTCTTCACCTCAAAAATGTACACTGTATAAAAATAATGTTGTTTTTGAATTCACTTATCCTTCGGGAGATTGCATTTCTAACAATAATAATAATAAAAATAATAATAAATTCTTAAATTGGGCACACATGCAGCACACTATCTCAGAGACAGACCTTGTCATTTGTTAAGATTTAAGGAAATTTACGTATATATAATAAATACATGATATAAAAAAGCATGATTAACTATACGAAAGTTATTTCCCCTTCAGACAAATACACACAAAAACACACACACACACACACACACACACACACACACACACATATATATATATATATATATATATATATATATATATATATATATTATTTATATTATTCGGACTATTGTCCTCAAATTTGTCGCCATATTTACTACAAAGTTTCGGCCTTTATCCACTGAGCCATGTGTCCTTGAGGACATTTCTTTCTTTCAATCCTTGAGGACACATGGCACAGTCGACAAATGCGTCAGTTAGATCCAGTAACAAGACCCAAAAAATGGTGAGTTCAATACCCGATTAAGGCAGTGGAGATCCTTCAGAGGGAAATTAACAGGAGATAACTGATAACTGACATCCATTAAACACGGCACGTGGAACTAGAACAGTCTACCCCAGTGAGCGAAATAAAGGGTTCAGTTCGACATTCCAACCACCTGAAAAAGGCCGGAGCGTACAACATAATACCTCATCTCAGAAATATATATATATATATATATATATATATATATATATTGTCATCTACAGACAGTCTGTTTCGCTGTATCACAGCTCATCATTGTTGCTAGATGTCCGGTTGCCTCTAGCTAGGATCGAAATCCGACTGAATTAGCGTCAATCGTAGAATCTACACCATACCGTTGGCTCACGGCAGTGATGAAGGTGAATTTAAGACAGTGACTGAGAAAACTCGATTCTTTTTATCAAACAGTTCTGCATATATATATATATATATATATATATATATATATATATATATATATATATTTAAAGAAAATCAAACCACTTTAAGGTTCCATTTAGAGCGGTTTTATTTAATATTTATTTCAGTCATACTTAGTATTGTGGAGGAAAAACCAAACCTTGACCTATTTAATCGGTTAACTTAACGGAAGTGATATATTGAAAAGGGAGGCGAGAAGAGAGAAAAAGAAAAAGAAAAAGTGGGAAGTAAAGAGAAAGAGGCTGTAAATAGGTTTCACGTAGGAAGGAGAGGGTGGTATTGTTTTAGCAATTTATGTAAAAAAAATAGATTTTAATGTTTGATTGTAATTTAAATGCCTAAAAATATCTACGAAGAAATTAATTTGATTCTTGCGAGCAATTTAAATATTTAACTCTTTTACGAATAATTGAGGGATTTAATATAAGTTAAATACTGTATTTATTAACACATTCATAGAGTTAATTTTTAAATGTAAACATAAAAAACACCTCAAACTAATTAAATATATTTAGAAATGACTATATAGAAAGGAAAATATTATGTTATTTTTAGTTTTAGAAATGATTATATGCACACATGCATGCGGATGCATAATTTTATGTATACAAATAAGTAGACGAACTTAGACATTGGTATGTGGTTTTATGTATGTATGTATTTGCAGTTGGATAGGTGTGTATATATGCATATATGTGTATATATGTATTGTAGGCGCATATATCAATATATATATATATATATATATATATATATATATATATATATATATATATATATATATGTATATATATATATATATAAATTTATTCATAAATTTAGCTAGGTATGTTTTTTGTATATATATATATATATATATATATATATAGTGCCATTGCATATGGTCTGTATATGTGTATATATATCGATGTAAGTATTTGAGAGTTTGTAGTTGTAATATATGGGAGTATATGTAAAATATAGTAATATAAATACATATGCATGTGTGGGTGTTTTTGGGTGTAGATCTGTTTTTATATACTCATTTATATATATATATATATATATATATATATATATATATATATAATATTCTAATGGAAGGACATAAAGTTATTTTAATCTTACTTTTATTAATGTTTAATCTTACTTTCTCTTTTAATATTGTTTAATTAGAATTGTGAGATTAAAATTTTTATCATCTGAAGGTAAGATCATTTTAAATTGATAATTTATCACTTCCGTTAAGTTAACCGATTAAATAGGTCAAGGTCTTGTCCCTCCTCCCCCAATACTAAGTATGATTGAGAGAAATATTAAATACACCCTCTCTAAACTCAACCATGTCTCTCAAACCACCACTCATTACCCCCTCTGTTAAATTACAAAAACTTACACTACCCATCAAAAGTATTAATTTTCATTTCATTTCGTTTCGTTTAATCTTTTGGAAGTGCTATCTGATGATCCAGAGTCCTTTAAAAGAGCTCTGGTGAAATAAATTATTATAATGGAACCTTAAAGTGGTCTGTTTTTCTTTAAAATATTAGCTCTGGATTTACATTGAGCTCTCAGGATGTCATCCTCCTTGGGACTACCTGTACGGATTACCAAGTTTTTCTTAACTGATATATATATATATATATATATATATATATATATATATATATATATATATATATATATACATTAATGTATTTAGGCAGCATCTTTTCATTCATACACGTTTCATTAAATAATATAGACAAGTGTTGTCTATTTATTTTATGTAAAATCTTTTAATAACGTCTAATAAGTTTAATAACATTATCATATAATTATGTAATTGACATCTTTGATAATGGCTTATGTAAGCCGAAAGCTTATATTATATATATATGATGGTGCAGAATTATGCAAACTCATAGGCATAAGTAAATTAACAAATATTAAGAAAAATGATATAGGTATATACAGGGACGACGGTCTATTAATTCTAAGAAAATGAAGCAGCAAACTGCAGAATAAATAAAACAAAAAATAATGAAACCCTTCAAAACTTTAGAATTTACAATAGATATAAAATCCAATCCCACCCCCCGAAAAACAACGATCTTTTAATCCAAAGCCATTTTGAAGCGTTTTTCTGCAGATTCTGAAATTGCTCTGATGATTTTCTTATTTTTTATTCTCCTCAATCCAAGTCGACTTAAGATTCTGCATAAAGATCTTCCTGCAAAACCACGACATTCGACTTAAATCCGACTTCAATTCAAGTAGTCAGCCATTTCACTATTTTTCTGTTTATTGTATTATTGCAGGGGTGGGGTGAAGCAAATTTGTATAGACCTATATCATTTTTCTTAATAATATTTATTGGTTACTTTTTAGTTCAAAATTAGTAGTTGCAGCTGTTTATATGAGTTGTTCGTTATTAATGTCTTGGTGGGCATTTGCTTCGGAGTGGTGGCTCTTCTTCCGAAAGGGGCAGGAAGGGTTTTTCCCTCTCACAGTAGATGCTGCGGTTGTTGTATCTGTTCCGTACCAGGGGCCTTCTCTCCTTACTTGCTTCCCCCTCCTCGTTGTGTAGCATATTTTCCGTAGCAGGGATATGGCCGGTTTTACTACCTTAGACAAGCTATGACCAGCTTAGACAAGCTATGACCAGCTAAGACTAGCTTAGACTAGTGGCCCGAGTGGAAACACTCGAGTTCCCACATGAAAAACTGACCTTGTGTCCAGACTTCGCTCAGTGGGAAGTCAAGGTAAATTCCTGGTTTTTACTTTATGGCAGAATGTGTGTGTGTAACGAATGCACGGCCGCAATTTTAGACGGATTTGCACCAAAATTTACATGCACATGCTCTAAGAAGGGAAGGCCAAAACCGACTTTGCATTTCCCAACTCCCATCGATAGTGGAAATAATCGATTTTTTCATGCTTCTACGGCAGTTTTCATGTAGTTTGCGGCCATTTTCTACTGGCCAGAGTGAGAGCCAATAGCTGGCTGCCACGAATAGACAGGAAGATTCTATTGGCCAGCTTGAGAGCCAACAGCTGACTGACACCAATGTTAACTAGTATGCTAGCATGGAAAAAATCGATAGCTGCATTCATCACAAGTGGGAAAAATTTAAATCTGCATGGCACTTTACTGCAATTGGTTCATTCGCTTGCTTAAATTCAACGTTGATTCTGATTCTGCAGAACTGGGTTGGGTGTGAAAAAGTATTTGTTGTTAACATTCTTTTTTCATTCGGTTCTTCCAGTTACGAGTCCTTTTTTTAAAGCTGATCGTTTTGTGTTCATTTTGTTTACTTCTTTTTTCGTAACAGATTTAATGTTTAGTATAGAGCTTAGAAAAAATTTGCAGTGTCAGATAGGCAAGAAGTAAGGCATGTAGCAACATCAGCACGGCAAAGGGCACTCTTTTAAACGCAAGGAAGGGCAAACATATTTTAAGTCAAGTGATAGCGATTGCTGTATGAGTCGTACTATTTTTTAATCAAACACGGGAAACGCCGGGCCATGCTGCTAGTATCGCCGACTAAACCGATGGTTAGAAACCTTGCAGGACAAAAACAGGACCTGTTAAAGGGCGGATGAACCCCTTTGAGAGGTCAACAACCATCTATCTATCTCTGCGCTAGGTCATAGAAATATTTTGGCTTGTATCTAGACGCGCAATCATCATTTATTATTTGAGCATGATTTATCTAAAGACGAAATATAACTTTTTAATGAAAAAAAAAAAAAAAGAACGGAGAAATGTAATCTGCCCCATAATCAAAATCGGAGGTACGCCTAAAAAAATTTGGAACAACTTGTGACAAACCACAACTATCGATGGAAAAGAAGAAAAAAGAAAGAGAAAAACCTAAAGATAGTGTAAAGTAGAAAAAATACGAAGAAAAATACACATGATCACGACACCTTACACATACATACATCTGCGCAGACCAGAACACACGCGTGAACGCACATCTGCACAGACGGGCGTTTGTCTGCACGCACACAAACGCACAAACACAAAAAATACGAAAAAAAAACTTACACCAATGATAAGTGCATAAAAAGAAAAAATGTCAAATGTAAGCAGTAAATTGTTGATACTACATGAAGAGTTTTACCTACCTACCTAGCACGGTGGAGTAATGGATGGCGGCGTGGATTGAGGAATCACAGAGCCGAGTTCGAATTTCAGTCGAATCCATTACATTCACTTACGTGCTAATACCCTTGCGAAAGGTATGAATCCTCTTCCTCTCCCTCCAGCTATGGGTAAAATAGCAGGACAGACTGGGTTCTATAGCCTTGGATGGCAACTGGTCTAGGAGAAGGACAACTCTGAATTCACAACCTGCGGGGGGTCGTAGTGTATTCGGCCCTTCAAAAAGTGTGGCTGGTCACCTTCACCACTATAATCAAATCCTATGGAAACTGATCTGCTTGACCCTCGAATCTCGACGGGAGAGGCGACTATATATATTTTAAAGTGTTTTAAATCTTTATAAATATTTCAATAGCTAAGCAATTTCTTTAGATATAGTAAAAAAAAAAATATATATTTTTTAAAATATTTATGACAGTTAGATTTAAGTTAGGAATATCTGAACAGTGACGTTCCATATCACGTGACGTCCGTGTCTCTCGAAGGACGCTACTTGCCAACAAACAGTAATTTTAATTTATTTGTAACAAACAGTTATTTCTGATGAAAAATTGAGGACAATTTGAAATATCAAATATATATATAAATAAATAAATACTTTCATAAAATAAAACATTATAATTTTTAATTTGAAACTTTTTCTATATATATATATATATATATATATAAGTAGCATATCTTCATTCAAACATGCTTCATTGAATAATATAGACATATTGTTTCTATTTATTTTTATATTGATCCTTTCCAGTTTTCTAATAAGTTTCTTAATGTTTAAATGAAATTCATCAAGAAAAGCGCCGTATTTTTTTTAGTCCAAGTACTTTCAATCTTTTCTAAGATCATACTCGGATAAATTAAAGACAGACATTGTAACTGCGATAAAATCTGCATTCCGTTGTCATAGTGATTTTTTAAAAACACGCCCGAACGCCTTAGAATTTAAAATTTATTCGTTGTATTTATGGATAACGAGAACAAAGTTTGATTCGTTTGACGTAACACAGAAAGGAAAGTCAGGTATAATTCTGCTGTGCTGGATGAAAAGAGTCTATGACTTAGATCAAAAGTCAGATAATCATTTTCTCAGTAGGCGGGTACATTCCCGTTTAGAAGACTTGTGTAACATATGTTCCTTTTCAAATAAGGCGTCATTTCAAATAAAGAGACAATATATATCTGCCTGGAATAGATAGATAGATAGATAGATAGATAGATAGATATGAATAAACTGAGATCGATAGATGGATTTGAATAAAATGTGATAGATAGATAGATAGATAGAGAGAGAGAGAGAGATATGAATAAACTGAGATCGATAGATGGATTTGAATAAAATGAGATAGATAGATAGAGAGAGAGATATGAATAAACTGAGATCGATAGATGGATTTGAATAAAATGAGATAGATAGAGAGAGAGAGAGATATGAATAAACTGAGTTCGATAGATGGATTTGAATAAAATGAGATAGATAGATAGATAGATATGAATAAACTGAGATCGATAGATGGATTTGTATAAAATGAGATAGATAGATAGATATGAATAAACTGATATCGATAGATGGATTTGAATAAAATGTGATAGATAGATAGATAGATAGATAGATAGATAGATAGATATGAATAAACAGATCGATAGATGGATTTGAATAAAATGTGATAGATAGAGAGAGAGAGAGAGAGATGAATAAACTGAGTTCGATAGATGGATTTGAATAAAATGAGATAGATAGATAGATAGGTAGATAGATAGATAGATATGAATAAACTGAGATCGATAGATGGATTTGTATAAAATGAGATAGATAGATAGATATGAATAAACTGATATCGATAGATGGATTTGAATAAAATGTGATAGATAGATAGATAGATAGATAGATTTGAATAAAATGAGATAGATAGATAGATAGATATGAATAAACTGAGATAGATAGATAGATTTGAATAAAATGAGATAGATAGATAGATAGATATGAATAAACTCAGATCGATAGATAGATTTGAATAAAATGATATAGATAGATAGATAGATATGAATAAACTCAGATCGATAGATAGATTTGAATAAAATGAGATAGATAGATAGATAGATAGATAGATATGAATAAACTCAGATCGATAGATAGATTTGAATAAAATAAGATAGATAGATAGATAGATATGAATAAACTCAGATCGATAGATAGATTTGAATAAAATGAGATAGATAGATAGATAGATGGATGGATATGAATGAACTGAGATCGATAGATGGATTTGAATAAAATGAGAAAGATAGATAGGTAGATAGACAGACAGATAGATATTTTTAAGCTGCATATCAACTCCTTATGAGTCATTTAATGCTATAATTTAAATTTTCTTTGAAGCTGTGGTAATTTTTTTTACAAAAAATGTATTGCTGGTAAAAATTTATTTTTCCTTGCAGAAATGTATTGCTGATAATATATATATATATATATATATATATATATATATATATATATATATATAATCGACTCTCCGTCGAGATTCGACGTATGAGGGTCAAGCAGGTCAGTTTCAGGAAACCGACAGCCCGACACCGGCACATGAGATTTGATTATAGTGGTGAAGGTTTCTGTGCAGGACCATCCACACTTTTGAAGGACCGAATACTACGTGCCACAAGGTCCCCAAACGACCACCCGCAGGTTTTGAATTCAGAGTTGTCCTTCCTTTAAACCAGTTGCCATCCAAGGCTATAGAACCCAGTCTGTCCTGCTATTTTACCCATAGCTGGAGGGAGAGGAAGAGTATTCATACCTTTCCCAAGGGTATTAGCACGTAAGTGAATGTAATGGATTCAACTGGAATTCTGCCTCGGCACTGCGATTCCTCAATCAAGCCTCTATCCATTACTTCCACCATATATATATATATATATATATATATATATATATATATATAAGCATTCAACCCCAAGCAAGGCGGGAAGCCACTAGCACGCAAGGGGTTACAGAGAGTTGGAGCGAGAACAAAGAGGAGTATTAAAGGAAAGGATGAAGAGACGGTTAGGGGATAGATTAGGGCACTAGAGACATCGATTGATATTTGAATAGTTAGAGATTATAGCTATCAGGAAAACAAGATATGGGGAGGGAGTTCCACAGGCGAGACATGAAGCTATTGGAGTAGAAGAGATGGCTACATTTAACAGTTTCGACAGTGAAAGGGTGAGAGCGAGATGACAGCTTAGTTGAACGCTTAAATTCATGAAGTCAGGAAACCATATATATATATATATATATATATATATATATAAATATCTATTACTGGTAGTTTTACAATAAGGTTTTCATAGCGTTTTGACCCCAGTTTGGGGGTTCCCTATTTGCTCATAGTTGGTACCCTAACAGGTGCTACCACCCGGGGTTAGGGTGGACCTGGGAACAGCAGTAATTAAATGGTGGTCCCATGCTCGTCAGAACCACCTGATCAGAGGCCTTGATGTTGGATGTAGTTTCATCGTCTTACTCAGGGCGCGGATGTAGTTTATTGTAATAAACAGGACGGTATCCAAAGCGAATAATTAATGAGGAATTGTTAAAATAAATATTAGCAAAAAGACCACTTTTGTTTAAAAAATAATTTCACCACAAGCAAGGCATTAAAGCCACTAAGACACACGGCGTTACTGAGTGTGAAAGAATATAACACAAGAGCAAGATTATTAAAGAGTGAGAAAAATAAAAGAAGAGGAATCAAGAAGACAGTAGATAACGATTGACAGTGAATTTAAATTTTTGAATAATGGGTTGAGAGTTCCACAGTTAACATTGCGACTTATTTTTATCAAGAATTTCTAAATACATAGCAGGAGCACCGAACCATATGTGGAAGCAATATTCAAATTATGGGGGAATGATAGATTTATAAATATGTAAGATATTCAGGAGATAAAAAATAGCTAGCACGACACAGGGAACCAACTTCAATAGCAATAGATCTAGCACTTGATTCAATATTAATCATTCACTTGATGTCCGCAGAGAATATTAGTCCGAGAAAGCAGGGGGTACTTTCCTGGAGGTTAGCATCAGCCATAATGATGAAAGGCAGAAGAGGGTCTCTCAGATGATTAATAGAAAGAAATTTCCTTTTAAAGAAGTTAAAATTAACAAGACATTCCCTACCCTATTTAACAACAAATTGTAAGGTTACTTTACATTAACCGGACCGTTATTCTCATGGACACATGACCCAGTGGATAAAGACGTTGGTTAGATCCAGTGACTAGATCCAAATAGTTGTGAGTTCAATTCCAGATCACAGCAGTGGTGAACCAAAACTTGTAGAGTTAAGTTAAAAGGAAATAACTTAGACATCCGGAAGAGGCATGGCACATGGAACTAGAACAATCTACCCTGGTGGATGAAATAAAGGGTTCAGTTCGAAAATCCAATCACCTAAATAAGTCCGTAACATACAGCGGCCGAAACGTTGTGAATATGTCAATGAAGATAAGGATAATCGTCCGAGAAATTTAAACAGTGCAAGTAATCATAATACCTCATCTCAGAGATATAGACAGATATATAGAGAGACATAGACATAAAGGCCGGAGCGTACAACGACCGAAACCTTGTGAATATGGCAATGAAGCTGAGGATAACAGTCCGAATAATGTAAATAATGCAAGTAATCATAATACTTCATCTCAGAGATATAGACAGATATATAGAGAGACATAGACATAAAGGCCGGAGCGTACAACGGCCGAAACGTTGTGAATATGGCAATGAAGATGAGGATAACAGTCCGAATAATGTAAATAATGCAAGTAATCATAATACCTCATCTCAGAGATATTGACAGAGATTGTAAGGTCATTTATTTATATATATATATATATATATATATATATCAGCAGCCAATTTAACCTTATTGAATCGATCAAAACTTACTATTGAGACAAGAGCAAACAGTTTAGTCATACGCATAGATACCGACTGAAATTTCTGGGACACATCGTGCGGACGGAGTGATTGGAAAACGTAATCCTCGCATACTGAAGGCAGCAGGGATAGGGAAGGCAGTGGGCCGCGCCTACCCGAGGAGTTCGTGTGAGAGTCCGTGCCCAGCGCCACAATGGATAGGAAAGTATGGAGAGCCATGATCACCCACGTCCTGAAGGGCAACGGTACATAGAAGAAAAATTATATGACGTATTAAGGCGTTTGTCCTTGAACATGGTGAGATGGAAAATGTGACTTCAATCCCCAAAGTAGATACTAAAGTCTCAGTCTGAGTAGAAACATGAAGAGCCATCATTGAGTATAACAAAAGGAAAAGAAATAAGACGAGATATCCCTAGACATGGACAACGGAACAAGAACAATCTACCCTCGTAAATTAAATAAAGGGTTTATTTCGAAATCCTCTCCAGGTTACTTGGATCTACAGGCACTAGAAGAAGGTTGGTGAGGACAACGACTGTAATTTATGATAATATAACAACAAAGATAATTCGTTTCTTTATCAACCCTTTGCAGATTATTTTAAGCCGGAAAATATTTTTAGATGATATCTTTATAATGCTCATTTAGTGATACAAGTACTAATAAATAATCCCTGTCTGGGGAAATGAAGTTCTGAGTTAATACCTCACCCTTGATATTTTTAATTGAACTGAGAAGCAATTATTAATCCGAAATAACTGTAGAGTAAGAAATAATCCCATCTAACGAAAGAACTCCTTAATTGAAACGAAGCTATATAATTTCGACGTTAACGAGTTTGTCAAATTAAACATAATAAATCTCTTTGCTATGAGCCGGCATCAAAATGTTCAAATTTTGGTATTCGATTTTAGAATTGCTACGAAGGAATTCAATTATTAATTACACGTACAGTGCGTCTCATGTGATTAGACACGCCATGTTTCATGGATATGTAAAACAGATACATTTTGAAATCTAAAGTTTGAATGATGACAGCGTCCATCTGCGCAGACAAGATGAAATCGATTCGTTTTGGTTTGGTTTGGTTTGGTTTGGTTTGGTTTACGGCATAACAGCCTCAATGGATAATTTAATGCCGACAAGATTTTTATTGCTAGTAATACAATTTTTCCAAAATGTATTGCTGGTAATTTTTTTTTTCCAAAAATGTATTGTTGCTAATATATATATATACACACACACATACATATATATATATTCCCAAAATGTATTGCTGGTTATATTCTTTTCCCAAAATATATTGCTGGTATTATTTTTTCAAAAATGTATTGCTGGCAATATTTTTTTTTTTTTAATGTATTGCTAGAAATATTTTTCTTTTTCAAAAATGTATTGTGGCAATATTTTTCTTTTTCAAAAATGTATTGTGGCAATATTTTTTTTAAATGTATTGCTAGAAATATTTTTCTTTTTCAAAAATGTATTGCTTGTAATATTTTTTTTTAAATGTATTGCTAGAAATATTTTTCTTCTTCAAAAATGTATTGCTGGTAATATTTATTTTTTAAATGTATTGCTAGAAATATTTTTCTTTTTCAAAAATGTATTGCTCGTAATATTTTTTTTTTCCAAAAAGTTATTGCTTGTACTATTTTTTCCAAAAATGTATTGCTGGTAAACAAAAAAATTCAAAAACAGTATTACTAGTATTAAAACCAATTTTTATACTTTCATTTTGTTTTGACTCCTTTGGGGGGTGGGTAACTATTTGCCCATAGCTGGGACCCTGACTGGTGCTACCACTCCAAGTCAGGGTGAACCTGCGAATATCAAAAATTAAGAGGTGGTTCCACGCTCCTCAAAACCTTGCTATCGGATGCAGTTTATTGTCATACGCAAGATGGAGTTCATTTTGGGAAAATGTAAAAACAAAATAGCAGTAAATAGTACGAATTGTCCTGAATTTTAAACATTCAAAATAATAACCACGTTACGAGTTTGATTTTTTTAAATAAGTCGTTCATAAAGCTTGGTTGCCGAATAAGGAGTACAATTTAATAATTACACATCTTTGTTCACTATCGTGGGAAGAATAAAAAAAACTTATAAAAGGTCAAGCTATCAAATTTTAAGCCTTGTTGCAGTGAGGGAGTGTCGCAAAGCACAAGATCTTGATTTCTAAATGTTTCTATAATAGCAGTTTCTTTTCTCGTACTTATCGCTTGTGGAAATTTTCTTCCGGTTCCATGCTTTCCCGGCAACTTTAATCTGCAAATATTTAAATGCAATATCAATCGCTATTTACTGTCATCCTGATTACTTTATCTCCCACTGCCAATTTATTCACACCCTGTAACCCCTTGTGTCTTAATTGCTTTACCGCCTTCCATAACGTGA